GGAGGCAATTCAGAAAATTGATGATGATAAAATCAGGGAATACAGATTGGCATTGCAGCTACATATCTATCATCTACATCCAAAATTTAATTACACCACTCAATAGTTAAAAGATCAATGAATTCATCACATTGAGTGGGGTCTGTGACACATCATGAGTGGTGGAGGGAAAAGCGCCGCCATTTTGATGTCTTTTTGCCGCGTCATATACTTTCCATTTAGTATACATTTTGACTCAGAGAAGCTACAACGCTCGAGTTTCAATTTACAGCTCTCATCAATATTTATCGATTGTGTACACAAAACATTAGTGTGGAATAGTTATGGTATATATATGGTGTTAAAGTTAAAAATTAAGAAAACTTAATACAATGTCGGCCTATACTCGTCGAAAAGCCAAATCAAAATACACGGTTGGAAAAGGCTTCTCAAAAGCAATCCAATGATATCCATAAAACACCATATGATAGAGTAAAATGGTGCCGGGAACGTAAAAAAATGAAGGTGTCCAAGTGGATCAACGATGGTGCAAGTACATCTGCCACTGGGTCAGCGAGCTTATGCAAGTGCATGATGTAATCACTTCTGTATCAATGCCGGCCTGTATAGACATCAGTTGTGTGCGATCGCCAATTATGAAGACACGTTGGGCAGCAGCTAGTGCATGTTTCACTACTACATTTGTCAACAATTCATTTGGACATATGTGTGATGTGTGTGACTGTCTAAGGTTTTTGCACTCATTGGGGCCACCAAAGAAAAAAACACTTAACACTGCTTAGTAATACTTTCCTAGAGGAGGCAGTGGCTGACTTTAAACTATGCAGTACATGTAGAAAATCACTGGACTCTGACAAAGCGCCCACGTTGTCACATTCGAACGGATTTGTGTATCCACCTAAGCAACATGGGTTGCCCACATTAGATCCAATCAGTGCATGTCTAGTATTGCAGATTACATATAGCTTAGCTTTGAGTCGTCATCGCTGGCTCATCATCTCAAGCGGGATTTTGATCCATAGTTTTTTAACCTTTTGTTTGGATAAAAGCGAGAACAAATATCAACATAAAATGCATATACTGCATACTATGCTTTACAAGTTTTGGGAATGTACTATTGTACAATAATATAAAATGCTGTGTTTTACTGTTTGTGACAAAATTATTTGTAAAAGAAAAGCTGACAAGTATTGCCTGGCTTAAAAGAAGCTGACTTGCATGATTTTCCTGATACTTAAATAGAAGGTTAAGGGAAGAATGTATAGTAATTTTAAATTATACTACAACAAAATTTAAATAATAATAAAAGCTTAAACTAATAAGATTTGTTAAATTATGCATTTCTATTTTCCAAAAAAGAATATATAAATTTAAAAAACACTAAATGGCTCAAAGTTAAAATTGTGTGTGATATCGTATCATCTATTACAAAACTATTAAAAAATAATTTTTATTACTGTATTATTATTTATTATAAAAAAGCAAAACCATTATTTTTAGAATAGGGGTAAGTTATTAAAAAAACTATAAATATCAATAATGAATACAAGTTTCAGTAAGTGTGATCCCACTTGAATTATATCCCTTATATCCTCGTCTTATGTTTCTATATATGGGGCATTGATTCCCTATACAGAATTGATAAAATAGGGTAGATAAAATAGATATATGTAGGCATTGATGCTCCACATATGGAAATAATCCTGACAAGTTTCAAAATTTTTAGTTCAGGCAGCCCTTAGATATAATGAGAAATAAATAACACAAATAATTTTATATGCAGTTTTTTTTTTGCATTTTTTGGGTTCAGGAAGAGAAAAGCAAAAAGCTTGGGGTTTTTTGTTTTTCTTGACAAAATCTCAAAATTTGACTAATCACCATACTTTTCTTGTTATATTATTCTATAGCAGCTGGGAAAGTAATGCAATAACAATAGTGCAAAAACAAGAACAGTCTACAGTTTCAACTCCAAAAATAAGGTCTATATTCCAAAAATGACTACTTTGTTTAAGATGGGATACAGAATAGTATATTTTATGATAAGTATTTGGATTCTAATAAAACTGTCAATTTCTATGTCTATTGTCAGTAATTATACCAAACAAACAAACTTAAACAACAACAAAAGATTATTCTTGTCAGATTGCCATACCTGGACAACCTGACGAAAATAATCTTTTATCAGGGTAACACCTTCACAACTGTTTAATGATGCAATAAAAAATAAAACAATTAAATTGGAAATTTCAGATCATCTACCTTATACATGAATAGGGTAGTGTTGACAGCACCTTTCAATTTTCATTTATTCATATCATCTACATCCAAAATTTAATTACACCACTCAATAGTTAAAAGATCAATGAATTCATCACATTGAGTGGGGTCTGTGACACATCATGAGTGGTGGAGGGAAAAGCGCCGCCATTTTGAGGTCTTTTTGCCGGGTCATATACTTTCCATTTAGTATACATTTTGACTCAGAGAAGCTACAACGCTCGAGTTTCAATTTACAGCTCTCATCAATATTTATCGATTGTGTACACAAAACATTAGTGTGGAATAGTTATGGTATATATATGGTGTTAAAGTTAAAAATTAAGAAAACTTAATACAATGTCGGCCTATACTCGTCAAAAAGCCAAATCAAAATACACGGTTGGAAAAGGCTTCTCAAAAGCAATCCAATGATATCCATAAAACACCATATGATAGAGTAAAATGGTGCCGGGAACGTAAAAAAATGAAGGTGTCCAAGTGGATCAACGATGGTGCAAGTACATCTGCCACTGGGTCAGCGAGCTTATGCAAGTGCATGATGTAATCACTTCTGTATCAATGCCGGCCTGTATAGACATCAGTTGTGTGCGATCGCCAATTATGAAGACACGTTGGGCAGCAGCTAGTGCATGTTTCACTACTACATTTGTCAACAATTCATTTGGACATATGTGTGATGTGTGTGACTGTCTAAGGTTTTTGCACTCATTGGGGCCACCAAAGAAAAAAACACTTAACACTGCTTAGTAATACTTTCCTAGAGGAGGCAGTGGCTGACTTTAAACTATGCAGTACATGTAGAAAATCACTGGACTCTGACAAAGCGCCCACGTTGTCACATTCGAACGGATTTGTGTATCCACCTAAGCAACATGGGTTGCCCACATTAGATCCAATCAGTGCATGTCTAGTATTGCAGATTACATATAGCTTAGCTTTGAGTCGTCATCGCTGGCTCATCATCTCAAGCGGGAATTTGATCCATAGTTTTTTAACCTTTTGTTTGGATAAAAGCGAGAACAAATATCAACATAAAATGCATATACTGCATACTATGCTTTACAAGTTTTGGGAATGTACTATTGTACAATAATATAAAATGCTGTGTTTTACTGTTTGTGACAAAATTATTTGTAAAAGAAAAGCTGACAAGTATTGCCTGGCTTAAAAGAAGCTGACTTGCATGATTTTCCTGATACTTAAATAGAAGGTTAAGGGAAGAATGTATAGTAATTTTAAATTATACTACAACAAAATTTAAATAATAATAAAAGCTTAAACTAATAAGATTTGTTAAATTATGCATTTCTATTTTCCAAAAAAGAATATATAAATTTAAAAAACACTAAATGGCTCAAAGTTAAAATTGTGTGTGATATCGTATCATCTATTACAAAACTATTAAAAAATAATTTTTATTACTGTATTATTATTTATTATAAAAAAGCAAAACCATTATTTTTAGAATAGGGGTAAGTTATTAAAAAAACTATAAATATCAATAATGAATACAAGTTTCAGTAAGTGTGATCCCACTTGAATTATATCCCTTATCTCCTCGTCTTATGTTTCTATATATGGGGCATTGATTCCCTATACAGAATTGATAAAATAGGGTAGATAAAATAGATATATGTAGGCATTGATGCTCCACATATGGAAATAATCCTGACAAGTTTCAAAATTTTTAGTTCAGGCAGCCCTTAGATATAATGAGAAATAAATAACACAAATAATTTTATATGCAGTTTTTTTTTGCATTTTTTGGGTTCAGGAAGAGAAAAGCAAAAAGCTTGGGGTTTTTTGTTTTTCTTGACAAAATCTCAAAATTTGACTAATCACCATACTTTTCTTGTTATATTATTCTATAGCAGCTGGGAAAGTAATGCAATAACAATAGTGCAAAAACAAGAACAGTCTACAGTTTCAACTCCAAAAATAAGGTCTATATTCCAAAAATGACTACTTTGTTTAAGATGGGATACAGAATAGTATATTTTATGATAAGTATTTGGATTCTAATAAAACTGTCAATTTCTATGTCTATTGTCAGTAATTATACCAAACAAACAAACTTAAACAACAACAAAAGATTATTCTTGTCAGATTGCCATACCTGGACAACCTGACGAAAATAATCTTTTATCAGGGTAACACCTTCACAACTGTTTAATGATGCAATAAAAAATAAAACAATTAAATTGGAAATTTCAGATCATCTACCTTATACATGAATAGGGTAGTGTTGACAGCACCTTTCAATTTTCATTTATTCATATTATTATGAAATTATCTTAATGGTAAAAAAATTTAAAATTTTGACTAAATGAAAAATGATATACAATCATTTTGTAGGCAAAACTAAAAAATTATTTTGGTAATGGAATTCACTCATGAAACTTTGACAGAGGGTAATTAAAAGAATAAAAACACATTGTTAATTCAATAAATATATTTTATTTCTTAAAAACTTTTCCTAACTTTTTCTCCTAAAAATTGCAAAAACTTTCTGTTTAACCCAATATATTACAATATTAAATAATAAAGACAAATCTTAAAAATATTTTGTTAAAAATTATGATTTAGCTAAAAATTTTAGTGTATCATAAAACAATCCATTTTTTATTGAAAATTAACTTCAATTTAAAAATTACAGATTTGATTGATGAAATAAGTAAAAAAATACACAAAATAATTAAAATAATATCCTTTCAGACTTACCATTGATATGCATTGAAATGGAAGTATGTCAGTCCTAATCCATACAGGAATGGTGCATCCTAAAATATCATTTTAAAACATCATTTTAAAAGATATGACACAAAAATAAGTTAATTTATATATTAATTAAATTTTATTTTTGTTTTCATTAAAATTAAAAACAAAATTATTTAAGAATTAAGCAATTATTTATTGTATTGCAATTTTCCTCTGCTTTCTGATGAGTTTGGCTTGCATCTTATTGGTTGAAGAAAGTTAGGCACCACAAACTATTGACAAACTATTTTTGTTAAGTTATGTCAAAAATGTTTTATTTATACCTAATACAGGTATATATTGTACTTACTGTGGTATTAATAAAATACTGAACTTCTGACAAAACCTATTACTGTTTACTGTGTAAGAACCTCTATATCTTAATTTTTTCCCCTTGTTCCCATGAGATTTGAGTTACAAGTTCAAATATGTTATAAAATTGCAAAATGCTTTATTTTAAGAGTAGAGATGAGTTTTATATAAAAGTTTGTAAATGTTAAAATCAAATAAAATCTCAAGTCAAATCCCATTTGAGATGTGACATATTCACTCCTTGACATTTAATCCCAAAATTTAATAAATAAATAAAATACTTTCTTACTGGACTACACCATATAAATAAAATCAAAACCTTTAAATAATCCAGCAAATCGTTTTTTAATATCTTAAAAACGCTTTTGAATGCTTTAAGTGATCATCCTCAGTTATCATTTTGAATCGAATGAAGAATTCTTCGTTCGATTCAAAATGATAACTGAGGATGACCGCTTAAAGATTTTGATTTTACCAAAATTTAATAACATCAGTTCCACTAATACACAAACCTCCCTGCAAAATTTCAAAAATTTTTGTCCAAAGGCACANTTCGTTCGATTCAAAATGATAACTGAGGATGATTGCTTAAAGCATTCGAAAGCGTTTTTAAGATATTAAAAAACGATTTGCTGGATTATTTAAAGATTTTGATTTTACCAAAATTTAATAACATCAGTTCCACTAATACACAAACCTCCCTGCAAAATTTCAAAAATTTTTGTCCAAAGGCACAGGTGTCATCAAGCTTCAAAGTGAATGAACAAAATCATGCACCACAAACACACCCATACATACTAAAAAACCCCAACTCTTTTACATTTCTTGACGTTTTAAGGTCCAGAGTCCAGAAATGTAACAATCTTGAGTCATTTTTTCACCAATCACTATATTTTCCCTCCATTGCATAGTTAGGAAAGTAAAAAAATAATCTGGCTTTTAGATATTCTTGACAATTAATACAGTATAACCAAAGATTTTCAAAAACACAAATTGATTTTTTAAAAATTATTGAATTTTTATGTTATGGTAATCTACATAAGTAATGATAATTCAAGTAAAAATTTGCTTTCTTGCTTGACAAAAGATACTGTATTTCTGTACAATATCTGCATATGAGAATATATTCAGATATAAAACCAGTCTTTTATATCTGAGTATAAAAGCATAATCTTATAAATGGAGCAAAATGGCACTATATTCTGCAAAGTACCTAAACAACAAAATCTCACTATTTTAACAACCCTTTAGTTTCAAGAAGCATATTTTTTTAATTTTGGCTTTTTATTTTTAATAATGGTTACCACAGAGATATCACTGAATAGTTACTGTATCAAAACTTTTACATTTAATTTATATTAACACAGCAGTGCAGTGGCCTCAAAGGATTAAGCCAAGAGCATACATAAAGAGCATACACATATATAAGCACACGTTCTTATGTATGAGGTATGATCTTATAAGCAAATCAAGATACAATGTTTCAAAACACAAAACAACCAATTTTCATATATAAGAGTATGTTCTTATTTGCATGAAAAAATATATATAGGCTAGCATTCTTTTTTTTAGCAGTGAAAAAAGAAATAAGCAAGCAAATAAATTATTTTAATTCTAAAATTCACTTATCTTATAAGGCTAATGCTTTGTATACAGGATGATTCAGCTAAGTGTGTATAAACTTATGGAAGGGTAAATTTCATAAAGAATTGGAATCATATAGTTATATCGGATGAGGAACATCATCTTCATGTGCTAATGTACAGAGAGGATAAAAAATAAAAGAGCAGCACATGTAAGAAAATGAATGCTTTTTATTACTCACAAAACATTTGTGAAATGCACTAAGATTACAGATGCTTAAAGTTGTGACCATAAACTGTAACACACACTTGACATTGTCCATTTTGGAAATTTATGGTGTATCTCAGACTTCTGAAGCAACTACAGAGATGCCTGCTACAAGGGCCTCATCACTTACAAGGGTGTTGTACACCAATCCTTTGATGTAACCCCAGAAGCAGTAATTAAGACAAGTTAAGTCCAGCAATCATGTAGATCAATAAATGGGACCACCATGTCTGATCTATTGATGTTCAAATGTCAGAAGTTTTGACTCGTTTAAGTGATGACGAATATCATTGCTGAAATGGGCAGGGCCTCCATCATGCTGGAACCACATTGCACGATACAGCAACTAAGGGACCTGTTTTTTGTGCACTAGCTCTGGCAAGATGTTCTCCAGAAATATCTGATAACACCTTCTGTCTGGATGAAGAAGTAAGAGCTATTGGCCAATTAAGTGGTCTTTGACAATGTTGTCCAAACATTCACAGCAAACAGGTTTTGTGCTTCATGTGTTTGTATAGCAGGAGGTTTCTCCACTGTCCATGCATGCGTATTATGTGCATTGAAACTACCTTTTCGTGTAAAGCATACCTTCTTCTGTGAATAGCACAGAAGCAGGAAATTGCCTCCCTATTCAGCAGGTACTATTGCACAAATACAATGCCCTGAGAGTAATCTTCAGGCTTTAGTGTCTGAACATACTGCTCATGAAATAGATGCAATTGGTTTTCATGCAGAACCCTCCATAGGGTGGATTGGAACAGACCAAGTCAATGGGCAATTGCTAGTGTGCTGGAACTCGAAGTGTCTGCTGCATGACCTAACACATTCTCTTCGATGTCAAGAGTGTGTGCCCATCATTCCCAACACCTGGCTGACCTATGGAAAGAACCAGTGTCACATAACCTTTGATGCAGCTGTGCAAACACTTGGCAGCTTGGAACTCATCTAATCAGGTACTATTCCCGATACAGTTGCACAACAGCTCATTCATTGCAGTCCATTGTTCCATAAGCAAGGTGCATATCAGCCATCTCTGCGTCCACGAACTCAGCCATCCTACTACTTCTGTAGGCAGTTTACAGATGATCATATCCTGAAACAATGTATGAACAGTCTTGCAACTAAATAAAACAATCTACCGTATGAAGATGGTGTTTCCGAGCCATGATTCTGATTTGGCTTTGTGCAACCTACCCCTCCCCAAAGTTTGTACACACCTAGTTGAATCACCCTATACAATGTTTAAAAACAAAAAAAATTTCACTTATAATTGAAACATTTTTAAATTTGATAATTCTGCCTAGCATAGTTATTCTTAAAATATTATAAACTTTGTAATGAAAGTAATTCATTTAAAAATTTGTTCAACTTAATTATTATATATTTCTTAATACAAAAAATTTATATCATAAGATTGTTTTCATTCTGAAATGCCATTCATTAATTATAATGGATTTTGGCAATATATCATCAAAACCTATATACAGTGACAGAAAATATCACTACATAAAAGTTTGTATGATGTAATTTACAGAGACTGCTATCTTCGTAACAAGTCTAACTATTGTCTTTACAAGACCAGTATTTCAATTTATCTCCACATGTGATATATCAAAATCAAACACTAATGACGTGAATATGCAGACACAAGCAAATTTGCCAAGTGATGTGTGAGTGAGCAAGAATAGGTGGTAAAAAGCAGCGATAACATATCTTGCTCTCAGTTAGGTACAGTACAACTACATCAATGTGAGATAACAAAAGAAAGTGTCATGAAGATGATGATGTCACATGTTCACATTGAACACATCACAGGGAAGCATGAATTATTGCATTGTATGGAAGTAAAAATCAAGATGGTTCAACTACAACACTTACTACTAACGAAGGAAAAACTTTTGTTATTAGGATTACTTCATAATGAACACACAAAAAGAAAATGAAAATACAGTGTTCCTCCTCTCTGAAACAGCAAAAGGATAAAGAACTTTATTATAATCTATATATATAAAAATGTGTGTGTGTGTGTGTGTGTGTGTGTGTCTGTCTGTCTGTCCTTCATGCATTACCACAAGGTCCAGAGTCCAGAAATGTAACAATCTTGAGTCATTTTTTCACAATCACTATATTTTCCCTCCATTGCATAGTTAGGAAAGTAAAAAAATAATCTGGCTTTTAGATATTCTTGACAATTAATACAGTATAACCAAAGATTTTCAATAACACAAATTGATTTTTTAAAAATTATTGAATTTTTATGTTATGGTAATCTACATAAGTAATGATAATTCAAGTAAAAATTTGCTTTCTTGCTTGACAAAAGATACTGTATTTCTGTACAATATCTGCATATGAGAATATATTCAGATATAAAACCAGTCTTTTATATCTGAGTATAAAAGCATAATCTTATAAATGGAGCAAAATGGCACTATATTCTGCAAAGTACCTAAACAACAAAATCTCACTATTTTAACAACCCTTTAGTTTCAAGAAGCATATTTTTTTAATTTTGGCTTTTTATTTTTAATAATGGTTACCACAGAGATATCACTGAATAGTTACTGTATCAAAACTTTTACATTTAATTTATATTAACACAGCAGTGCAGTGGCCTCAAAGGATTAAGCCAAGAGCATACATAAAGAGCATACACATATATAAGCACACGTTCTTATGTATGAGGTATGATCTTATAAGCAAATCAAGATACAATGTTTCAAAACACAAAACAACCAATTTTCATATATAAGAGTATGCTCTTATTTGCATGAAAAAATATATATAGGCTAGCATTCTTTTTTTAGCAGTGAAAAAAGAAATANGACGGAAAAACAAAAAATATCGTGTATCCACAAACACTCCAATAAATAAATAGAATTGAAACGACACTTTCAAATGTTTTCCCGATGAAAATGAATAATAATAATAAATTTCAATAAAAATAATAAAATGTAAATTGAATTTTATCATAACGAGTTTGCTTGAATTTCCTTTCTTCTGAGATCGCAGCAATGCGCGATGGGTAAGCTAGTTTGTTAATAAAACAGAATTTATATGACTATGTATATCTATAATTTGAAAAAAAAAAATCTTTTTATATATACAGTAGATGAAAGATGAGGATCCATCTTTTATTCATGCTAAAGCACATGCACAATATTTAGCAAAAAAAGGAGAGAGACAATAAATATCAAACCCTGTCAGATATTTGCAAAAGTCATTAGTTCACTCTCACCAGCGAGATTTCTTGCTTCTCACTTGTGAATGGTTTTCCTTTGAGAGAACTATATTGCTCACAACCTCTCACACTCACTACTAGATTTGCATCTGCATAGTGGCATCCTTACTCATATCTTGTCTTAAAAATTTTATTTTGATTTTTATTGCAAGGGGTTCATACTGGTTCATGTTATCATCATCAAGAACCTGAAATGATAACTAAATTCTGTTGTATGACACATGGCAGTGTGTACCTCACAAAAAATGCTAGAATGAAAAGAAAACATTTACATAACACACATACACCAAAGTTAACATTTAAAACATGACATCAGTAAGCAGTTTAGAAGATATCACATCAGATATTGTATTTTGTTTTTATTTCCTTTATCATTTTACTATAGATGTAAATATAAAATAAGTGAAATGGAACAAATGAAATGTTTGTGACAATCTCCAAAACTACATGAGTGTTAAAAATTAAAATGGCTATATCTAAAGAATGAGATAATTGTTATCTATCAGCATTAAACAATTTTTATTATTTACAGTAGACCCCTATAAAACAGGTTCATATAATGCGGATTCATATATATCGCGGCGAAAAAATTATGACCATATTCGTATAAACAAGCTAAAAGAGACTCCTATATAATGATAAAATGTCAATGTCGACTCGTGTCGCGACAGGATTGGTCAAATCTAGACCAATAGCGGATATTGGACAAACCATTGAGCTTAAACGAGCAGCGGACCTACTAAAAACCATTTATTATTTAACATCCATAAAAATTATATTTATATTAATGATGTCTTAAAAGTTCAGCAAATTTTTTGCAGAAAAATAATTCATCAGGAAACACACACTCCCCCGTTTGATGCACCACTCCACGACGAAAACAAGCTTAAGCAATGGCGTCGTCGAATGGTGCACACTCTGTAAGTAATCCTACAATTTTTTGTTTATAGCATAGTTTATATGGATTATTCCCAAAAAATTATACGTGTTTTGGAAATGTTGAGTTAAATTAGTATAGAATCGATTAATTTTATGGAAGAAAACTTTCAAACAGCCATAGTCCATAAACTGCATACATGCTGGGCTGTGATTGGCTCATGTATTTAAGGACGCGTAGAACACAAATTTCATAAAAAGTGTAATGTATCTACCGTGTTATAGGGGAGTCGACTGTATTGATTCAATTGTAGAATATCACCAAATGGTAATTAAGTTTAAAACCAAAAATTGAACACACAGTCTATTGAAAAAGGAATCATCATTTATTCACATTCAATGCTCCAGAATTATTCTACAAAGATTCATCACTACAGGGCAGCTGAAAATCTATATTTACCAGTATATGCTTCTAGTGAATATAAAGTTCTACAGCCCGAAGTAGTAAGAATAGTATAAAAGATGATGTCTATGATGTTACCAGTTTTAATTTTAAAACTTTTAAAAAACTTCGTTTTTAACTGGATTTGTTTTCAAAGGAAATTTTTAATTTTTGAAAACTAAGTAGCCTACAGAGAAAGGTAGGTCATCAAAATATTGTATTCCAGAACATGAAAAAGGAATCATCATTTATTCATTTCCAAACAGACTGTCTTCAATTTTTGGTTTCATTATTTATATCATCATAAGCACTTTCAACATTTGTTGGTATTGCTTCTCAAAGTGTATTCCAGACTCCTTCAATATATCTGCTACTATTCATTCTTACTACTATCTTTCCATGCATTTGCTATTCTCATGCCTAAGTTTCTTTTAAATGTTACTTTTCATTTTTTAAAATTTGTATTTATATTCCAATTTTGAATAGGTGATGTTTGTTTTTAAATTTTATTCTAATGTTCCTAAATTATATTCTCTTCTTTGTTTGAAGATGGCATTTATAAAATGTTGAAATTGCTTGCAATGATATTATGTTTAATAAAAATTGCTTAACATTGATAGACAGTGGTTATCTCATTCATAAGTGGATAATATTTTGCTGTGGTGAACCTAGTCATTATTTTTATAAAAATGATTACTGAACCACTAAATCACTTAATTCCTTGATTTCTATTTTATTTATTTATATTGTTGCTGGTTATAAAAAAACATGAATGAACCTGACTGGCTGATCCATGCCAATGTTAAAAATTTTGAGTTTTTTCAAGGACCTAATGCACTCAAAGAGCAGTTTAAATTTGGATGATCAAGTGTATTGGACTATTGTGGATTATCAAAGTTTTGTTCTGTAAGTACTTAACTTTTGTTAATTTGTGACTTTAATTAATTAATTAATTATATGTCCTGTGGCATTTTGGTAGAAATGTCAGATATCAAAAGTCCGGAAAAGATAGATCACTTCCAAAAAAATTTTACCTGGAATAACTGATTCAGAATTTGGACTTTTGCCAGTCTTTTTACAACTTAGACAATTGAGAGAAGGTAACCTATTGTGAATTCTACTGTTCTAACTGTTATGGCCAAGAGGGCCACAAATTCAGCCATTAGTTCTCAGATGTTTTCAAAGTCACTAGTAACTGCCAACATTTGCATATGAGCAGAATTAGGACATCCATTAATACTTCATTGCTTCTTGTTCTTTCTTTTGTTCTTTGGGAGTAAGCACAAAATTGCTAAGTAGAACTTATCACACAAAAACACAATTAGATAAATAAAATAAACTATTTTGTACAATGGAATGGATATTTCTCTTTATATACCTCTTTAGTCCACATTGTACAATTGTTAGAACTGAAATGATATTTACATGTGACTGCTAAAATAACAAAGTATTTAAAACAACAGGATAAAAAGGCAGTAAAACGGTAAAACTTAACAAGTTAAATCTTGCTAAAAAACAAAAAAAAAAAAACACACAAACCTTAAAATTAATAAACCAACTAAAAGGTGTAAAATTCTTCACTCTATGTATATCAGGTACACACTGTACTGTATTACAATTTTAGTTTAAAATCAAATTAAAATTATCAATAAAATCAGTTATTCACTGTACACTGACAATGATTTTAGTTATTGACTTAATTGAATTAACTAATTGAACTATTATTGAGTTATTAACTAATTGAATTTAGTTATTAGATAGAAAGTGAAAGTGTCAATGAGCAGAAAACGTAAAAAACAGAATCGTCATGGATTGTTTCGCTGTCTGCTTCACTGATAAGAAAATGACAACAATACAAATGGTACAGGTCATCAATTCAACAAATACAGTGGTCATTAAAATCAAATGCAACTGGTGTGTAAAAGCTAGGAAAAAACTCGCTGACAGATCCTGATAATAATAATAATAATAATCAAGTGGTCATTAAAATCAAATGCAACTGGTGTGTAAAAGCTAGGAAAAAACTCGCTGACAGATCCTGATGGTAAGTACTTAATTTAAACTAGAGATATGGTCACCTTGTACTAAGCACGATGCATTCTTCATACATTAGGCATATGTCTACTAAATAATATTGTATTTGTATCATTTATTTATTTTAATAAGTCACTTGATTACTAAGGTTGATTATCCTTGCTTTTTTAGATTATCTCTTCGCATGTTCTGTGAACAACGTGAAATAAAAAAAACATTTAATATTTTGGTGGTGCCATCTGTTATCATATTTTATTAAAAAACTTTTTATATTTTTTAACTATTATAAAATGGCAAAAAGTTTAATTTTGAGGATAGGGATGAGTTTTATAAAATAAAAACTGTAAATGCTAAACGAGTAAAATCATTATTAAATCGTCACGGAGATACACACGACCCCTATTATCTTCCCATCCCCTCGACCTTTAACCACCAAAATGTAATAGCATCAATCCCAATAAACAAACCTCCCTGTAAAATTTCAGAAATTTTCGACAAAAAGCACAGGAGTTATTAAACTTCAAATAGGGTAAACAAAATTGTGTCCACCATACAGAAATTACCCCATTTTTGCATTTTTCGATGTTTTAAGATATCCTGAGCCCAAAAATGTGAAATCTTTGGGGGGGTCATTCGCCGTACTTTCCCTTTGTTATATATAACAGCCGAGAAAGTAAAAAGAAATACCTGGGAATTGCAACTGATTACTTTCCACTAAATGAGCGAATTTATTTAAATTATTGCAACTGAAACAATTATCATCTTTTAATAAATATCTTTGCTGCTAGTACAGTACATACATACTTTAATATATAGAAAATTTAAAAGCATTCGTGTGCAGATAAAGCTTTAGAATTTCTTTTAAAATCTTCCGAATCGTTTTGAATATTTTAAAAAATGTTCAGAACGATTTTTAAAATTTTAGAACGATTCTGAAGATTAAAAAAAAAAATTTTTAAAGCACAGCAATTAATGTACAGTACTCATTCGTAATAAGGACCGTTAAAAGAGAAATAAATAAATATGAATCGGATATTCAAAGTCTCGAATATTTTTACTACATCGGCTTCGACGTCACGCGGAAACGCAAGAATGTGGGCAACAATACTTTTCACTTTGTTCCGAAAGTGGGCGATTTTCGAATGCGAAAGACATTTGAGCTTTTCGGAGTTATTTCTTGAGTTTATTTGTGTTGAATACAAAGGTGAGTAATATTTTGACAGACTACACAATATTCTGTACAAATCTATATATATATCTATATCTATATCTAAAAATGGACGTGTGTGTCCCTATATTTCACTTTTCCGCCAAAACTACACATCGCACGTGAATGGTGTTTGTATATGGTGGTAGCCCCAAGTCTCCATTCGTGCATAGGGGTGGTTGTGTCTCGATAGTTATAAGGGTGCGGGATATATGAGGCTGAAAGTGGTTGAAAGTGGCTTTCTATTTCGAATGTTTTGTTCGAATTTAATTCGAACATAAAATTCGAATATTGGTTCGATTATAGAACGATTGTAAACGTTCCAGAAACGTTGAAAATAGTTCGTTTGACTAAACGTAAAAATTCTCTAATTAGTCTGGAAACGGGGGACATAATTCTTGCATTCTGTGAAAACGGGTAAGATTAGCTATAATGTAATTATCTTAATCTTCACTATCGTTACTTTTTGCCCAGCGAAGCGGGTCCTTGCAGCTAGTATCTTTATAAAAATAGAATTACCGATCTCGAAATTTGTCATTAGGTAATCATAAGGTACTTAAACTTAAGTAAGAGCAAAGAACTAGAATAAGAAATTAATTTCGAGATAAATTTCGATATCTTAAACTCATTTTGAATAGAATACTTTAAATAGAATATTTTATCACGATGCAAACATGGACGAGGTTGATTAATAATAATGAACATAAATCTTTACGAAAAATGTACGCTTGATTAATTTTGATATTATATTGCGTGATCGTCAGCGAGATGACCCTCGATGGAACCGACCATCGACGTTGAGAGATGGCGAATGATCCTAAGACACAAATAATTGACGAGTTGTGTTTTTCAGATTTCGATATGGAGAGATTTGTGGAAGATGCGCAGATAAGTGCGGATGTGGATAGAAAGCTGGATGACGAGGATGATTTCTTCAGTTTTGACTTGGACAATTACCAAGAAACTAATTATTGGGAAATTGTTCTCGATCTTGCCGAGGATTGTTTCGGCTATGGCGATTCTAATTCGCAACAAGTTGATGTTTGCTTTCGTTGCGACGAATGCGAGAATCCTCGGGTATCGTGTGATCGGAAAGTTGAGCTGGAAGCTGTTGGCGATTGTCTCGACAGGTAAGATTCTTATATTTATTTAATACGTATCTAATAGGTAACATGTAACAGTTAAATTGGATGTCATTCATATAATACTGTTCAGAATTGGGAACATTTCAGTTGTTTATTTTCGTTAAAATGGAAGTAACAGATGAATATAAGAGACATGTTTTATACTTTTTATTTTTAAGTGGTGAGAATGCTACAAATGCAGCCAAAAAATTAAATACTGCTTATAATCAAACTGTAACAAGTGTAAGGACTGCGCAGAAGTGGTTTGAAAGATTTAGAAATAATGATTTTAGTGTGGAGGATAAAGCTCGTACTGGAAGACCCGTTGACTCTGATGATGATGCTCTCTCTGTACTAGTTGAAGCAGAACCATCTTTAACAGTTGATGAAATTGCGGAACGTTTAAATTCATCCCATGGAACTGTTCATAGACATC